GCCACTTCATTTTGCTAGAGTTAATAAAAGCCATGGCTTCTAAGTGAACACATTGGCCTTTTATTTAGGACACGGGGATCTAGCCAACACCCAGCCACTCAGCTATTCAAATACTGTTTAGTTAATTAAAAGCCCATTGAAGCTATATGACTAATTAGATACATGACTGTGTGAGTCCCACAAAAGCTTAGGAGTACCATTCTGAACCTTGTTTTGAAAATCAAAAGAGCATTGCCACCATAAAACCCTAGAGCTGAAATAGGCTCTCTGCTTCTGGGCTTTTTCTCACAGTCAAGATAGTTATTTCTTCCATGCTCAAACTTCCTAGAGAGGTTAGTTATTGCACATCCTATGATAACTACACCCATTACTTAGAAAATCCTATGAGAAAAGGCACAGCCATTCCAATTTTTAGACATAATTTCTTTTACCAAGGGCAAACTTAAAACAGAAAAAAAATTCAGAAGATAGATACTCATTGGAGTAATAATAATAATATAGCAACTCTGCAATTGAGTATAACCGTTTGTACCCCACTAACTTTTTGAGGTTTTCTACCTTCTTCTATAAATAAATGGCTCTGTTCTACACGGTGCCCTTTTGCTATATCTTGATTTGTCCAAAGATCCTCACCTAAGTTCTGATTCCGCTCTTCTAGTCAGTTTTATTTATTTATGAGTTCTTCTCTGTTATGTAAACAAAACAGGTTCTGTATCTTGCTATTTTTCTCTTAATTGAGAATGGTGTTTTGAGTAAATCAGATTGATTATAACATGCTGTAACGTATGTTATTCCCTCACAGATTACTGTATAAGTAGTGACTGATTAGCTCAGAGTCAAGTAACCCTGTGTAATCAAATATCTAGAACCTCAGATCTGCTATTCTTTTCATGCAGGCTCTAGGGCAAACAGGCTCTTACCAGCACAGACACGTATGATAATTATACCAGAAAGCCAACTTACTCATTTAAATGTGAAGAGTAAATTTCTAATATTAAGAATGCAACATATCTGTACAAGACAGTATTTTTTAAAGAAAAAAATCCTCTTAAATTTACTTTAAATGGAAAATGAGAATGCATTATTTTTAGTTTCTTTATTTTGCAGATCGGAAAACTGAGGCTCAGGCAGGTTAAGGAATTTACCCAAGATCTCTACTAGGAGGTGGCAGAGCTGTGACATGTGTCCCAGTCTACATAGTTTCAAACTCATGCTAGTAACTCCTGTATTATATCTCTTACTCATTTAGTGAAGTCATATGTGCTAAAGCTAAAAGTCAGAAAAGTTCAGCAATAAAAAGCCTTGAATGTGGTTACCAGAGGTGGAGAGTGGGAGGAGGAGGAATTGGAGAAAGGTGGTCAAAGGTACATATTTCCAGTTATAAGATAAGTTCTAGGGATGTACCCTACAGCATGATGACTATAGTTAACACTACTGTATAATATATATGAAAGTTGTTAAGATAGTAAATCCTAGAGTTCCCATCAAAAGGGAAAAACATTATTTTTTAAATCTGTTTGCTTAGTCATTTTTATTATATCTATATGAGATGATGGATGCTGTCTAAACTTATTGTGGTAATCATTTTGCAATATATGTAAGTGAAACCATTATGATGTACACCTTAGACTTATATAATGATGTATGTTAATTAGATCTCAATAAAACTGGGGAAAATGTTCAATAATAATAAAAAAAGACTTCCTAAAATAAACGGAGGTTGGTTCTGAGACCATGAGACCAAGAATTGATATAATATTTTGTTACACCTCCTTCAAAAACAGGGGTTTCTATCAAAATCGGAATACAAGATCTGGCAATTAAGTTCGCAAAATTGTTGCAAAGATGTTACTCACCTTTTTTAATTTCAGAGGGATTATTCATTAAGAATTTATACCAACTGGAAAAACAGTTCACCAAGTTTACTATTTGGAAGTGCTGAAAAGTCTGCATGAAAAAGTTAGATGACTTGATCTTTTCGCCAACAATTCATGGCTCTTGCATCACGACAATGCACCAGCTCACACAGCACTGTCTATGAGGGAGTTTTAGCCAGCAAACAAATAATTGTATCAGAACACCCTCCCTACTCACCCAATCTGGCCCCCAATGACTTTTTTCTTGACCCAAAAGTAAAGGAAACACTGAAAGGAAGACATTTTGATGACATTCAGGACATCAAAGATAACAGGATGACAGCTGTGATGGCCATTCCAGAAAGAGTTCCAAAATTGCTTTGAAAGGTGGATGAGGCACCGGTGTCGGTGTATATCTTTCCAAGGGGAGTACTTGGAAAGTGACTGTAGTGATATTCAGCAATGAGGTATGTAGCACTTTTTCTAGGATGAGTTCGCGAACTTAATTGTCTGAACTTCATACATGTTTTCACACTGTTTCTCTTTTGGGATCAACTCAATCACAGATTAAATAATTTTCATTTGATTCAGGAGAATATTCAATCAATTTTTTTCATTATGAAGTGTAATGTACCATCTTCCATGTTGATTTTTCATATGTCAATCTAAATATATAAGAAAATATACCTTTTCTATCTATTTTGATTGAGCTTCATAATTATGGATGAGCAAAAGGACATTTAAACTAGTTTTACCATCAAATCTCATTTTATACATTTCATCTTTTAAGAAAGGTAGGGGTTTTATAGATCAGTAACTATGTTTCTTCTATGAAGCATACTTATTGGTTGAGAAAAGAACTGACGCATTCTCAGAATTTTTCAAAGTATAGTTTTCCAAAAATCTAAAAGGTATGGATCTTATACAAATATATAGTAGGAAAGTGTTAAATATTGGCCTAACTTATTAATGAGGAATCCAGCAGAATTATAAAGCTGGTTCAAAAGGTGATAGGGAAGAATGCTATATATAGTTAGTGAATTAAACAAAGAATGCTGAAATAAAATTACATTAGATATAAAATTATATGATGTCGTCCAGGGCAATAAAACTATAACCTTTTGAGTTACCTTTCTAGTAGACAAAAATCATTTGTATTGCTCCTGAATAAAATAATTTGCAACTTACCTGTTTTTGTTTTTTACAATTTAACATCTGATTTTTCAGAGTATAGGCCTAACCATGGTGATGGAATGGGGAACTGACTCTGGGTGGTGAACACACAATGCAATATACAGATGATGTATTATAGAATTGTATACTTGAAACCTATATAATTTACTAAGCAATGTCACCCCAATTAATTTAATAAAAATTATTTTTTAAAAAGTTTTTAAAAATGCATTCTTCCAGAAAACTGGATAACTTTTGGGAGGTTATCCAGTTCCATTTTATTATTGACAAGACACACTATCATTAGTTTGCTTTATCTGTAAGTTGAGATAATTTTTCTTACTACTGTCTACCCTGTAAATAAAAAAAAGTAGTACTTTGTCTAATACTTTGTATAAACACTTTGTATGCAATATTTCTTTTAGTTCTCAAATGAATGTCAATAAGCATAAACCTTTTAATGAAATTGATTATTTCCTTGGAAAAAGTCTTCGAGTTTCAAATATCAGGCAATTTCGTAGATGCAAAATAAAATCTCATTTCAATTTGCCTATATAATATCTGGGTACCAGTGAAGTTGATTTAAAAAAATATATTTTGTTATTTTCTTTTAAAATTGTTGTTGGCTTATTTTTTAAATTTATATATTAGTGCCCATGTTTTTGAGTCCATTTAGCTTTTACTACAGAAGGGACATTAACCCTTTGTATTTAATCCTTGCACATCAAAGAGGTTGTCATGAAGAGTAGTAATAGAATATTTTATGTGAGGAATAACACTATCATAAATGAGACTCATTTGTGCTAACTTGAAACTCAATGTAAGATTATACTAATAAAGATGTAATGTTTCCTCTTGATCCATTAAAACTCCTTTATTGAAAAATGTTTTATATGAAAACTATATATACAGTAATGTTAATAAGGGTGGAGAACCGAAACTACAGGAAACAGGAATATTTGTAAATACACAATACTTTGCAAATTGACTGCAGTTATTATTTTAATAAGTAAACAGTATAGCTTTAGGGGATTATATCTTAAACAACTGAGAATAACTGGGCAATCTTCCATAATCGTTTAAATCATTTTTTGTGATGTGCTTGTAAAATAAAATCAAGAGCTGAAACTAAAGTATACCCAAGATTGCTATTTTTGCTGCATATATAAAGTCTGTATATGATTATGTATGTATATATAATATATAAATATAAACATGCAAGACAAAATATGTCATTACTACATTCAGTGTTTTAAAGGTTTTCTTTGTTACCACTACCATAGGTCCATTTAAAAGATGGTTATATATACATTTTTTTTAATTATCTTATCTTCCAGGACTAGAAAAAAGGTAACTGAATTAAAGCATTGACTATTGTAATGTTTTCTAATTTGTGACAATTTGAGATATATATGGCTTATATATAATATTTATGTACAATTATAAACAATAACATTTTAAATAATAATATGCTATATAAAATACATATAGGTATATAGATATACAGAGAAATATGCAATATAGAGCACAAGAGAAGAATTATGATAGTAAATTATGAAAAATGATTTTTTGAGCTCTGTAGAATCCTGGGTAAATCAGTGCATATAAAATTATAGTAGCCTTTGAGATTACTCTTTTGTTTGATATTGTTGGGGGTGGGTGGTGGGCTCCCAAAGAAAGTGTGAACCGTTCACGTTTTCTGCCAAGGTCCAGACACCCACTAGCCTGAAGCGTGATTCAGGGTGAATCCACAGTCCTTGGATTTCTTTTCCCTCCTTCCCTGTGCCACGGAAGCCAGGGATTCGAAGTTGGGCAGCAGGAGGGGGAGGAGAGGCAGGGGGGAGGGGAGTTAGGGGGACGAAATCCTAGGCTACACATCCTGGGAAAGTTCCCCGGGGCCGTCGCCCCTGGACAGCGCTTTCCCACGGCCTCGTGGGTTAAGGGAAGCCTGGTCCGCGCTGGGCGGCCCGCCCACCCGAGTCCCCTCGCCCTGCCCTGCCCGGTTGCTCGGGTCGTGGGTTGGAGCTGACGTGGGTCCCAGGGATGCCCGCCACCCTTTGACCTCCACTGAGCGTTGGGAGCTGCCTGATGCCCTCCAGGCGCTTGCTATCTCCGACTAGACTATGTTGAGTGAGGGGCGGGAGCAGACAGTGACTCTTCCCTAAAACTCTCGCACCCCCAAAGGCCCAGTTGATGCCAACGAGGCGGCAGGATTCCGTGTAAATGCGGCGGGAGCCGGACCCTCAATTCCCGCTGGCTCCAATGTCCATGCTGTGATCAGGAGCCCTGCGGTTCTTCAGGTCCTTCAACTTTTGTGAGATGAACTTCAGGAGTGCGGAGGAATGGAGCTGGGGTAAGGTCTTAGGATCATGAACTCGGGGGCTCAGATTCCAGCATGGTCTGTGACCACCTGGATCCGGTCTCCAGCTTCGCTCCTCCTCCACCGTTTTGCAGCCCCGACAGCCCGGGCGGGGGATGTTGGTGTCGAACCCCTAGGCTAGAGCCCTGGGCCCTCTTTCTTGCTGGCCGTGATCAGGTTACTTTTCACAGACTGGAGCTGCCTGGGAAGTGGGGTGTTTACTTTTAAATCCTTTCATGTGTGTTCAGTACACCTTGTGTGGCTGGGTGTGGAAAGGAGGTGGGGGGTGGGGAGAGGGGGTTTTCCAAATCCAGTGAAATTCCCATTCCATAGGCATTACCAGGCCTGTGAGGTTGGCAGTTCTTAAAGTTTAGCAAGTCTGCAAATAAGTACAGAAAACAATAGAGTCCCCCTCCCTTCCTCTCCCTCTTTTTTTCTTTTCCTGCTTCCAAACGCCTTCTTAGAGGCTGAAGCTGGGCAGGTCTCCAAAGGTGCAGCAGCCACAACAATTCCCGCAGTTCAAAGTTAAGCAGCAGTTGCACAACTTCCAACAACTCTCTTAGCCGGCTACTAATGAGCTGGAAGCCAGGAACATCTGAGGAGGTGAAGAGGAAGCTTCCAGTCCTCCCTTCACCCCAGAAATCCAGATATCCCTACCCCCACCCTTCAGATAACTTGGAGATAAGGTCCTCGCTGCTGTTCCAGTGCCTGGCGGACCATGGCTCCCTTTGGAAGGAACTTGCTAAAGACTCGGCATAAAAACAGGTAAAGTCCAGCGCGTGTGTGCTCCCCGGCTTCTATGTGAAGGCATGTGTTCTGTTGCGTTTAGATTCTAATCAGAACTGTTCCTGGGGGACAAAGGTGTAGGGAGTTAGGTCTTTTATTTATACTCACTCTGGGAGGGGAGGATATTGTTCCAGCAACAATGACTGCTGTGGCCAGAGCAAGGATTGCTGAAAATAAAATAATAATTACTTTTTTTTTCCTCTCCTTTTGGCCAGTCCTTGTTCCACAACTAACATCACCAAAATCTCTTTGTGATGCCTTGCTTATTTAAGAGTAGTGGGATGCAAGTTTCATTTTGTTTCAGACAGAATTTTAGTGGATTATAGGATTACATTTTTGATGACGATATAAGTAAAATGCATCAGCCACTAATTAAAATGAAAACACAGCTGCTGATACAATCCAGAAAAGATGCTTTGGCACCCCTTAGAGTGAGTGGGGCATTCCTGAAACTTGTGAAGTTCCTGAAGTGAAAATACCCTGTAGAGAAACTTTTTGTGACCTGATGATTTCAAAAATGTTTAAGAACTTTAGGTGGTTTTTGGCATTAAAGGAGGATTCAACCAGCTGTCCTCCTTAATCTTTATTATTAATATTGTATTTTGATTTGATTTGTTATTTCAAGACTTCAATACCCATAGTGTGTAAATACATTTCTCTCTCTCTCTCTCTCTCTCTCTCTCTCTCTCTCTCTCTCTATTACACACACACACACACACACACACACACACACACACACACACACACACACACAGATTTTTCTTAAGCCAGTATGTGTGTTTTAATCCTATTAAATATTTTATTAACATTTCTATGCAGAAAAAGGTGAGGATAATTTTAGACATGGGCTTCAGTTTTTTAATATATGTATTTTAGCGTAATGGCTTTTCCACAACTCTTCTCTCAATCATGCCTGTTTGTACTTACCATAATTTACTGAGTATAAACTTAAAAATATACAATTACATGGTAGGAAATGATACAATTATTTTAAAGTGTCTTCATGGACAGTATAGAGTGATACAAATTTAAAGTAAATCTCCACACTATTTTGTGCATGAATGCCTACTTGAAACATTTTTAACTCATTCTAAATGTATTCATGATTTAGTTGACTAAGTTTGCTTAAGAAACTAAAACAGCAATAATAATACTATCAAAGAGTCTAGCTTTATTTGCTAATAACTTGGATAATATATCACACATGGTATTTCTGGTAGTTAGTGAAACTTTATGTTAAAATAAAGAAATTGTGTATTCTTAAAAAAATACATTAGAGATAGTTATTAAAAATAGGTTTGTATCTTAGTGGATGTCAGTGCATTAAAAAATATTACAGAAGACTCCCCTTGCCAAAAAGAAGATCCTTACTACTTTTTAAATGATTATTCAGCAACATAATTTTTTAATATGTTTGTTTAAATGCTGTCAAAATATATTTGAAAATTACTTGGGGAAAGTTAATGGTTTTATAAAACAAGCTATATTTCTGACATACTGATCTGATTAGTTCAGGGTTGTTACGTGTGTGTTTATTTTTTTGTTTCGTATTACTATTAATTCAAGAATTTTGTCATTGGTATGCCAAATAGCAATGCAATAAAACTTGGCACGCACCCCCGTGAGTTTCCCTCCGGGGAGTACAAGTCCACTTTCATTACCTCAACTTTGCCGCTGCACCATCTACTCTGCCTATAAAACTAGCTTTCATTCAAGGAGGTGAGTACTTTTTATATGACATTTTCTATGCAAAATTATGAAACAGTGGAAACAAAATACAGTAAAAAATGAGTTTCATAATATTTCAAGTTTCTCTGAGAAAATGGATTGGTGCTCCCAAAGGTGATGCTACTTTTATTAGAAACGTGTTTTGGCAAAGGTGGTAATTGTGAGGATATGTTTAAGTTCCTCTAATAACTGAGGGCTTCCCTTTACAGATTTGTATTTTTCCAATCCTTAAGAAAAATGAAAACCACAGTGGTAGTCGAGAACATAAAAATATGGATATTTCACACTAAGCAGTAAATAAATTATATGGTGTATTGAAATAGAATTTAGATATAGTCTGTGTGTGTGTGTGTGTGTGTGTGTGTGTGTGTGTGTGTGTGTGTTTAGTATTGCTATGGATGAGGCATTTTTGTTCTGTTTTATTTTTTCATCTTCTCAAAGGTAAACTACAGGTGAAACTTAGTTGCATAATTAAATGTATCTATTCTATTTACTGGATTCTATAATGATTTAAATAATCCTACTCAGACATATAGAAACCAAATTATCTTACCTTAAATGATGAGTAATTCATCCTATGATAAAAAAATATGATGGATTATAAAACAGTACTCTGATAACAGCCAGTGCCTTCTTCAAACATATCGTATAAAATTCCTTATAGAAAGTAAAGGGAGAATTTGAGCAATATATTTGTATATGTTGAGATATATAATTTATACAACCAAAAGAACCACTTGAACATAATTTCATCTTTGTCAGAAAGAAAAAACGTGGATCACTAGAAGGAGCATTAGGAATTTGAGATCATAAAATTTTGAGAAATTTGTTTATGGAACTTTCTGCACCCTACTCTCTGTCTTTTCATTTTTATTCACTCCTAGAGTGATATTTAATTACCCAAGATTGAACATCCTGATGTGGTTCTGTAAATATTCCATAATACATGGATAGTTGAGAGTTTTAGAGACAAATGGGACACAAAACTTCAAAGTATAAGGCATAAAATCTTTTGAAAGACACAAACTGTAAAGCTTGGAGAGGCCAAGGCCATATCTGTCTAGTTATCATTGTGTTCTCACACACAGGACAGTTCCTGGCGTGCAAAGGACCTGTAATACAGTTGTTTATATAATTTTGTTAACTAAAATTATAATTTATACTCAAACTAGAAATATAATAATTATTTTATTCTCTATTCATCTGATGTCAGCTGGCATTATATAACAGTGAATATTTTATACAGCATCGGTTGACATTTAATATAATCCAAAGCCCAAGGAGATAGACAAATAATTATATGGATTTCGACCCCATGTTAATCCTACCCTACCAGATAACCTTCTCTAAAGTTTAAAACGTATTTAATTAAAAAAAAATTGGGAAACAGTCTTCAGAAAATTTGAGAATAATACATGGTCACACAATGATTGTATTTGGGCACGCAACATTTTTATGCTTTTCATTTCTAACTTTCATATAAATAAAAGAAATGGGGCCAATCTAAAATCCTTTATGTTCGCTATCAGAATTAATCTTTTACAATTCTGTAACTGTAGTAGCATTTAATAGGAAGAGTACAGTTTTCAGAAGACCTTTTAATCTCAGGAGATGGATTGTTCACTTTGGTTCCAGAGTAATAGAATGTTCTATGACTGAATCCCAAAGATGGATGAGCATCTTCTCATGCAGCTTATTGTTCAACAAGAAGAATAAAAATGTTGGAGAATCTAGATATTTTCTTTTCAAAAAACCATTCGAGTTTCTGAAAATATTTTCTAAAAGTCACTAGGTAGATATCGTTTCTCATATAAAAGCCAAAGAAGCCAATAGTGAAGCCTAACTTCACTTGGTATTCGTATGGACATTCAATAATTGGATTTAGATTATTAACATATTTAGATATTCACAGAGGTTTCATTTGTAAATGTGGTCCTCTTTATATTAGATTCTATTTTCAAGATAATGATTGTTTTAAAAACTAGCGCTACTAAAGAGCAGCCAGCAACTTTTTAAAAAGTTCAGAACAGTAGAATGTCACTGTAAAAGCTTTTGGGGATACTTAGTTGCGAATGATGATTCTTTGGTGTTTTACTTTAAAAAAATTTAGGGACAAAGAATTGGTTGGACCTTTCACCAAACCTTTCTAGAAGCAAGGGAAATGGCAAAATAAAGCAGCAGCGCATGTGTTTCTTGAAAATATAAAAGAGAAGAGTTCATTTAGGTGATTTGTAAATGAACAAAAAATTAACAACGGATATGAAAGGATCTAATCTAGTTAATAAGGCCTTTATAATTATTGTTAAGTACTGTTCAGTTGACTCTTGGCTTTTCCTTGGCTTTTCCTATACCTGTGGACATATGTCTATCCATCATAGGTGATAACAAACTTTGTCATAATATTACCTTGAAATTAAAAGGCTCCAAAAACATATTTGTAATAAACATGTTAGAAGTAAAAACACTGCTCTGTTGTTTATAATTGATACATAAATATTGTACTAAAATTTGATTTTGAATCAATGAGAACATGTCAGGCCACTTTTTTTTTTTTTTTAAGTCAGGTGCTTATATTGCTCCCATAAGTACATCATGCCGCAGACGCTTCATCAGAAGGAAGAATTAAGATTTGTGGTTAGAGTAGAAGTTGCTGGCAAGATGGATGTTTTCTTTTTGTCATTAGAAGTATGGCGATTTATGAATTCTGCAGAAGAGAATATTATGTACTATTTTGTCTAACCTTCAATAAATATTTAAAATCTTCCCAAAACTGGATTCAGAATGACAGATATTTGAGTATGTACAGCTTCTTAGTTCTCAGGAGTTCTTGAAAGAGATTTTCCTTGAGGATACCTGGTAATTTAAGTAGTTAGTAGTTGGCAGCAGACAGCTTATTAGGAACAATGACTGGAATGCTTCATTTCTGGCAAAAATATCCTGAGAGCAGTGGCAGCGGTGAAATTGAGCTCTAGGTTAAACCTCAAATTGTTACTCAAACAACCCTAAGGCAACTTAAAATCCACGACATAAGATATGTTATTATGCACTGTACCAATTCATGAAACATGTCAACGTGAAAAGTTACCTAGTGGATTTTTTTGAAAAAAAAAAGTTTCAAAAGTTTGTAGCTAGTTAATACTTTTGTTTACATAATGTCGTTATTAGCTGGACTGCATGACTTGGAAAGTTTTGATTGGTATGTGGTGTCAGTAGATTTGTTGGCACTTCCAGTAATTTACAAAAATGCAGCT